CCTACACACATGTGGAGACATGAGGGAAGGACACGGTTAATGTTGCAGGAGGCGGTCTGGAAAATGCTTTTCAGATAGACCCTGGGAGTGTGGTCCTTCTCCTGAACCAAAAGGCCTGAGAGACTGGAGCATAGGCAAATGACAGTGAAGAAGGATGGGCAGACAGAGTGTCCCATCTGTCAGGTTGTCTGTACATTGCCCTGCTTGGGGTTGTTTCATTCTCTTCCCCAGACCAACCTTCTTTCCAATCATGCTAGGACAGAAATTGCAGGACCCAGAGAGTCAGAGACCAGGCAGTCTCACTTGCCCTTTGTTTCCTTCTCCTATGCCAGAACTCTTCCAGATGGTTGCTTCAGGGGATCTCTATGTGCAAGGGACTTCCCCAGAGTCTCCTGTAACTGAGATGCCCGAACTGGAAGTCTCTCCAGTTCTGATAATGATGCTGCTGTGACCTGGGGCAGGTGATTCCCACACAGGACCCCAAATAACATTTGTTAGGATAATTGGAGCAGGAACAGTTCGAGCCTCCTTGTTTTGCAGACGAGGGAACAGAGACCCAAAATGTAAGCATCCTTCTCCAAGACACGCAGCTGGTCAGTGACAGAGCCACGATTCACTGCCCAGTCTCCTGACTTTCTAATCCACTGTTTAATCTCCTGTTCCCTCAGCTCATTTCTGCACATGTCCATGGAAGGAAGTTTCATGAACTCTGGTAACCTGTTTCCTTGTGCTAGCAGCCAGCTGTGGTTGGAAAATAAATATTAACCATCTCTGGCATTGATAACGTTGGGTGATGCTTAAAATAATTTGATTTGTTTGTGCGTGTTCTGCTGCTGCCTAAGAGCTATTTCACACGTGGATGTCCTGTTTTCCTTGGAAGCTTTCCCAACTTCCCCAAACACCTTGTCAGTGATTCTAAAACTGACAGTTCCTTTGTATCCAACCCAGGAACAGTTATTCTAAAACTTTCTATTTTGGAAAGTTTAAAATATTTACTAAAATTGACCCCCATGTAACTGTCACCAGGCCAACAATGATCATCCATGGCCAGTCTATCCACTCCCCCCTCCTATATGTGTTGAAGGATGTTCTAGACATCATATCATTTCATCTATAACTATTTTAGCATGTATCTCTAAAAGGTAAGGACACATTAAAAATAACCTCGAAACCATTATCTCACCCAAACTTTTTAAAGTTAAAAATTTCTTGATATCATTAAATGTGCACTTAGTATTCAAATTTTCAAGTATCTAGTAAGTACCTTCACTTTTTGTTTGTTTGCTAACAGTTTTGAATCCGGAGCCAGATAATCTTGCCATTGGTTGGTAAGTCTTTTGTTATCTCTTTTAATCTATACGTTCTGCCTCTATTTCCTTGCAATGTATTTGTTGAATAAACTGGGTTATTTGTCCCGTAGGGTTTTGCACAATCTGGGTTTTGCTGACTGGAGTCTCTCAGCACCTTCCTCTGTCACCTGTATTTCCTGTAAATTCACTTCTTTATAATCTGCTCTTCAAAATGTCTCCCTCACTAGACTGTGAGCTCCTAGAGGTGTTTTATTTATCTTTGCCTACTAGGAGGCTACCACTGTAGGTGCCTGGTAAGTGGGTGAAGAAATGGATGAAGTCGGAAGGCCGTGTGTTCTTTCCTCATGTAGGAAAAGGGAAGGCACCAGAGTCAGGGCTGAATCTTGGTTCTCTGGGGAACACTGGGCAAACCACTTAACCTCTCTTGGCCTCAATTTCCTTATTTGTAAAACGAAGCAGTAATAGTGTCCACCTCACTGGGGGGATGTGGGTCTTAAATGAGGAAATACATATAAAATGCTTACTGTAGTGCCTTGCATAGGGTAAGCATTCAACAAGTGTCAGCTATTATTCAAAATACTGCGAACTTGAAATTCTGTATTAGTCACAATAGGCTAGGTCAAGCTGAAGGAATAAATTAATCCCTAAATCTCAGGGCTTTGTGAAACAAAGATACAATGATTTTTTTTTTTTCTTGCTCGTGTTACATGTCCAGAGTAAGTTGGTGGCTGGTATATGCCACCCAGTCCCTCAGGGATCAGGATGATTTCATCTTGTGGTTTCCTTCATCTCAATATGTGGCCTCTGCAGTTACCATGGAAGACAAGAGAAAAGTGTAGCGGCCACACAATGGCTTTTAAATGCTTCTGCCTGGTAGTGACACATCACTTCGACTCAACGTTTCATGAGCTAAAATGCATCATATGAACCCACTTAATTGCAAGAGTGTTGGGATGTGTTGACTACCCGTGTGCCCAGGAAGGAGTGTGGCTAGGAATGAGCCTTCATAGTCACTTCCACATGCTCTATGTTGCCTGTGATTGAATGTTAGCATGATCGCAAATATCAACGGTTCTGGGAGATTTGCAACAAGCAAGGAGTAATTCTCAGACAGCATTCACTTGAAATTTAGAACAAATCACTTAATAAAACAGTCTAGTCTCCTCCATACAATAGAATGCTCCTTTGTGATAGACATCAGCACGTGTGCCTCTCCTATTTTCAATCCTTCCATGGCCTCATAATGTACTTATCATAAAAAGTATCTTTTACCAAGGGCTTCAAAGGTCTACTTAATCTGTCCCTGTCCTCATTTCCTGCCACATTTCTCACTGACTGCAATCAACAGCCATGCTGGCTGTTCTCTGTGCTGATACTTGACCATGTATTATTCTCCCCCAGATATCCTGATGACAATGCTCACATCTAATTCGGGCTTCTACTCAAATATCACCTTATCGGAAGGACTCTTCTCTGTAAAGTGCTGGTAAATGCTTAACTGGCTCTCTGAAATAAAAAAAGAAGAAAGAAAGAAAGAAAGAAAAAGAAAGAAAGAAAGAAAGAAAGAAAGAAAGAAAGAAAGAAAGAAACCGTGGTTAGTATTATTTGCCCATTTCCATGGTGTAATTATACCCGCCATGGCTGATTTCAAGCTACCGTGACATCACTAAACACAGAGTTGGGAAGAAAATTTCCAACACACAGGTATAATAGATGTAAATAAAGAGCATAGATGACAGTAACAAGTAGAAAAATAAATATAAATGGTGAGTGTTGAGTATTTACTACCTTTGCTTTTATTATAACGTATTTTTACTTATAAGGTTGCACAATTTAATTTATATAATAGCTGTTTTTAACATCTGACCAGCAAAATTCCTAAAACTTTAATAGGCAGCTCTGATGAAAGTGGTGAGAGCTGTTACCAGCACACCGTTGCCTCTCCCAAAATGGATCTCCCCCACTCTTATCCTACTTTATTTTTCTTCAAAGTGTTTATCGGTAGCTGCCATGATATTATACATTTGATTTTAATGTTGTCTCTCTACTCTGCTATAATTAAATTCTTATTTGTCTGAGTCCCCAGCACTTAGGACAGTGTTTGGTTCATAATAGATGTTCAATAAGTATGTGTTGAAGAATGAATCATTGGGTTCCCTTATAT